TTATGTCCTTCACCATTCCCTCCCTATGGCACTGTCCCTTACTGTCCCTCTCTTTGCCCCTCACTATACCACTCATCATGCCCCTCACTATATCACTCACCATGCCCCTCACTATGGCACTGTCCCTTACTGTCCCTCTCTTTGCCCCTCACTATACCACTCATCATGCCCCTCACTATATCACTCACCATGCCCCTCACAATATCCCTCACCATGTCCCTCACTAAGTCTGTTTGCTCCCCCCCCTCCCCGCCCATCCACCCCCAGGGAGACTACTCTTCAGCTGTGTGGCCTGGCTGGTGTTGTTCCAGCGAGACGAGAGGAAGGCAGTCCCGCCCCCGGACTGGTAGGAACATCTCTAATATTTCTTATAGAACCGTCAGTCTTTTACACCCCTTTCATTCAGTTTAGATCTTTTCTTTAAGATCTTTTCTTTAAGATATTTCCTTTAAGCAGGCGTGCTATTCGCTCAGGTAAGACTGTGCTGTGAGATGGTGCGGGTGACCCTGGTTCAAATCTTTTTTTTTTTTTTCGAGGTATTTTTGGACTTTGGTTGTTTGGGAGAGTTTTTAAGGCTCTCCGCCTACCTGACTCTGTTTCTATCGGAGATAGATGTCAAATTCGGAGGTCCGACCATACCATACCATACCATATCATACCATACCATACCATACCGTACCGTACCATACCATACCATACCAACCATGTCGCACCACACCATACCACACCACACCTCGTCACGACTTCAACCCCCCCCCCTTACCTCCTTCTCCCCCATCCTTTCCCTAGGTTCCTCACCGCCAACAAAGACATCGCTTTCCGGCCACAGGAGAGATTCTCAGTGCTAGACTTCACCGTCCCGGACAACGCTTACTGCTGTAAACTGAAGGTAACGTTTGTGACATTTCATAACTGTCACTGCTGTAAACTGAAGGTAACGTTTGTGACATTTTGTAACAGTCACAGCTATAATCTGAAAGTATTGTTAGTGACATTACATAAATGTCACTGCTATAAACTGAAGGTATCGTTTGTGATATTTCAGAACTGTCATTGCTATAAACTGAAGGTGTGATTTGTGACCTTTCATGACGGTCACTGCTATAAACTGAAGGTGTGATTTGTGACATTTCATGACGGTCACTGCTATAAACTGAAGGTGTGATTTGTGACATTTCATGACGGTCACTGCTATAAACTGAAGATTTTGTTTGTGACTTTTAAAATTGTTTGTTTTTATGAGCTGAAGGTACCGTCTAACAACACTAACCGTTATGAACTGAAAGTTTTACCAATAACTTCAGATAACATATTATTATTATTATTATTATTATTATTATTATTATTATTATTATTATTATTATTATTATTATATGGTCACTTTTAAGAACATGGGGGCTATCCCGAAAACTGCTGTTTTCAGAAAATCGAAGGTAAAGTTTTTGGACCCTTGTTCAGTTTCTTTAAAAGACAAGGAGAGTTTTCTGTATATATATAACCAAACAAATATACACACCGATGAATCCAAACTTCTCCTCTAGGTAGGGCAATGCCCACTTTTGGTGTTGTCAAGATTTCTGGAAACCCCCGAAATCTGGGTTAGCCCGCTTGTCCTTAAATGTGACCAAATGTACTTACCAGTAGGTAATTCTGTGTCGTCCCACATCTCCCTCAGGTACCGGCCAGTGAGGTGGACCTGTACGGTCACTCCAGAACAGCCAACTTCGTGAAATATGGGTAGGTACTTCTGTATAGATAGATAGATAGATAGATAGATAGATAGATAGATAGATAGATAGATAGATAGATAGATAGATAGATAGATAGG